TCTTATAGTCTTTCCTTGTCTTCGTTTTAATCAGTCACTTCTCTGTACTTTTAGCTCACTTTTTCTTTCTCGCATTGAGACCAAAAATAAAAAATAGACTCATTAACAAAACCAGACATCTGTCTGACCTTGCGAAATCGGAGTGATGGTTATAACATGTATGTAGAAAGGGGGATATAGGGGTCATCAACCCTTGATGGCTAAAAACAGACGTTCATTTTACTGTCCTAATTACTTTGCGGGTTTCGTGCACAATCAAATACAAGCAGGCACATACACATACAGAGACAGACACACTCACAGGCACCGAAGTTGACATGACCGTAACCAACCAAATCACTTGATACTTGATCAGAGACTAGCTGTAGAGTATATACACCACTTTTTAAGGATTTGCCGATGAGTTTTATTGACACGTTAGCTTGAATTTGGTTGGGATGATGACACCTTGCTCTGATGATGTTCGTCATACGACAGACAAAATCTTAGCACCTTTTCACCGGAATCGAATGAGATTACCTCGGAAACAGCGTCAGCATGAGTGTTCTAGTAAAGCCAATCAACAGTTGGTCAAGAGGAATCCGTCGACGTCTTCAAGTGGGATCGACCTTCGAATCTCTTCACGAAGCACCTTCACCCGAAATGGAAATAAGCACAATAACTTATATCAGTTTTAAATCTAATCAAAGGTATGAAGATCAAGTTGATGAAGCTCTCACTACAAATTGGCTTTTCTTTCCCCGTATCAGTGGTTTAAACATATTTTGCAACTTTTTCCAGAGTAGTCTGCCTGAGAATTGCAAAAAGTTCCCATCAAACGACAGAGGATTCGGTAGATCACCAGGCGTTTCACAGGCATCTAGAAATGTACCAAAATGGGACACCTACATTTCTGATTAGGCCCAGACAAAGGAGGCTGATGACCATATTAACATATTAACAAGTTGCCAATTGCCGTTCCTTGCATCCGCTTGTGTAGTCTTAATCTTATGTCCAAAATTAAACCCATGAAATTTAGCTGCGTCGGGAGTATCCTTGAGCACCTTTTCAGCCTGTTTGTGTTACCAACTTGACAATACAAGCATGATGCAAAATTGAAATCAAATCGTTCTATTCAGCCCTTTAACCGTCCTATCCGACCAAAACCTTATTCAGGCCTCGAAAGCCATTTGTATACCGAAACATCAACTCATTAAGGAGTCGCTGAAAGCCCAATTTGCCTTCCCATGTCGGAAGATTTGAGCCAGTTAGCTCGTGTCCGTAATGGCCTCTTTAATCAGCGGTCAAGTATCAGGCTCCTACAAGTCGGTGCTGGCAAACAGCTTTCTAACATATCCTGAAAAAGATCTGCCGTCAACTGTGGGTCACTTATGGACCGATGGTTGAATCTCATTGAACTCTCACAGGATACTTCGTGATTAGCAAAGCTGGATGGAAATCAATGGCACCATTGCGACCACTTGTTTCATCCACTGCACTACCCCATACGACTCAGGAAGGTCACAGTTATCCGAAGTCGTCTCGAAAGTGACAAAACTGGGAAAACAATTGGCCAAACCATAGCAGTATCGCGAAAGGCCGGCAACAAGCCAAATGCCACTTCACTACACCTCCTTGAACGCGAGTCAACAAGAGAATTAGTCCATATTTTTGTAGCTTGGATTTTGTATGAATAGCCTGAGGAAGGAACTGTTAAATGTGGATTCAAGGGGAAAACGCCCATCCTGCGGAGCCCCGTCTGTAGCACAGTGACACACATTTTCAGTGTAAAAGCATGTCCGACGAGATTTGACAGAACCTCACAAAGCGGACAAAAAGGCGGTCAACAGCAGGATTCGACACCTACAAAGCCTGCCGTATGATGCAATAAATCATATCACATTGCCTACCACACAAACCGCACTAAACCCAACCGTGTACAAAGTGAATTGAATGACCGCCAGTAGTGGGAAGACAAGAAATTGCCACGATTTTACAAAGAAGCAGCTTCGGCATAATCATTGAGACGGACAAAATGACCCATTGTTTAATAAGAATTGGAGTTCCACGGATAGAGGAAAATAAAGTTAAGGAGCATTCATTTTATTAAAATTGACATGAAGAAGCACCATCATTCAAACAGGTTAAAATCGCGTTACTCGTTTGAAAGCGGATTCAAGGCTGGCGGGCAAAGAAATGACAAAGAGAAGTGTAAGAATTGCAGCTTACTCCTGATTGGATAGACTGTCCACCAATCTCATCACCATCACTGGCTGAATCGGCTAAGGACGAATCAGATTGGTGCTGATCAGAGCGGCTGGCCCGATTGGCCAAAAGCTGCTTAGAAGCCCATTGGCTCAAGGCAGGAGCGACTGTCAGTTGGCTGGGCGGAAGATGTCGGTCCACACGTCCACGACGGACCAGCAGTTCAGGAGGCAGAAATGTCAAGGCGTCTGTCATCTCGACACCGCCCCGAGATGGGTTTTTCTTCATTCCGCCGTGCCCACATGTCACCGGCGCCTGGAGGGTGGGGATAAGAATGACCAGTTTTAGACTCACAAGACGGAACTGGAAAAAACGAAGCCATTACGGGTCCATTGGGAATATGACAAAAAAGAGATCTTACGCTGCCGACATTAGTTTTAGGCATTGCAATTTGACACTTAATCAACTCTTCCAACAAGCACCGCGACGCAACGCGAGCCGGATGATCGGAAAATACAGAAACAGATCGTGGGATATGGTTGCGAGGCCCAACAATACGTGTTTTCAATGTCAGATAGACCCAATCTGGGAGACCAATCGTGGGGAATATGTAGGAGTGAAGAGAAACGGCAAAAAATGCGAGCTTGTCAGGACTAGTCGAGACGAGGTTACGAAATTGTAAAAGAGAAGCGGGGCTCGCACCAGGCCTACCTTGTGATCGGAGAACTCGAGAAATTGCGCCGAGACGAAGAGATGAGGCGGCGTGAGGACATCGAAGGTGTCGCGGGGGTCGGCGGGGTGGCGCCAGAGGGACAAGCCGGTACCTGAGGCGGCGTAGCAACGATGCGCGGCCTGCCTACGAAGAGCTCGCTGCGACCGACGCCGAGTAGACTTGGCGAGCCAGAAAACGAGCAGAAGCGCGGCCGAGAGCAGGACGGAAGCGACTAGACAGGCTACGCCGATGACCAGGTCGGGCAGCACGCCGGTGTAGACGCCGTACGGCGCTGGCGGAAAATAGGCGACAGGTTTTTTAGAGGATGAGGCTGGGTTAGGCTTTGGTTGAGAGCCGCAATGCGGCGACCGGAACGAGCGAAGAGCGATTACGACCTACGAGTTTAACCCTTAAAACCGCGCACTACTTTAAGTAGCGAGTTTACGAATTCAAAATTCAAGACGAGCAAAAAGACAGCCTGGCAAAGTAGGATACAAATATATTGGTACGAATACACTTTTGCGCACATTATAAATATTTATATTTGTATTTG